TTAAATCCTTCAAATTAATGTGATATAATTATTCCTTACGTTAATTTAAAAGTAATTTTGAGTGCAAATATACAAATATAACGTGAGACTTCAATATAATATTAAGATACATAATTTCACTTTGCAAACTGTTTTTTAAAATTTAAAATTTATAGCCTACATTTGACATAATGGTTACCAGAAAATCTCTTTTATGAAAAATTTACAAATATATCATTACAAATAGTTGAACAGATGAAATAACAAATAATTTCTAAAATTATGGTACATAAAGTCTAAATTCACTCTAGAGTGTGTTTTGTATTTTTATTATTATAATTATAGTAATTACTATATTAATTGATAAGAGGTTTTTTTTTTTTTTTTGTTGGCTCTCAATGTTCACACGTGTAATGTGAGTCAAAGGCATCCTGACACTGCGTGAGTTGAGCGACCGCACAAGGTCTCAGCATTGTTAGAGTACCAAAAATATGTTTTTATAGGTTTACATGTTTATATGTATAATTATAGATTTAAATGTTATATTTTAAAATTTTAGAATTTTATTATTATGTTAAGTTAAATGGCACAATATTTATGAATAAAGAATAAATAAAAATTTATATTACGTTGACATTTTTTAATTTAACATATTATGGAAAGAAATTATTTACTTTTTCTAATTTTAAACTATCTTTATTTCGAAAAATATAATATTTTAAACTATCTAATTTACCAGCTCAATCTAAAATGCTCAATTAGCTTCATTTAATTACAAACCCACTAAGACGATAAGCAGCCCAAAATCCAAATGATTATAGTGAAGAGTGGAAAGAATAAGACAATATACCGCCCAAAATCCAAATGATTAGAGTGAAGAGTGAAAAGTTAACTCGGATTCTTTTTCGCTATTTCCCTCTCTCTCACATTTCAATATAGAAAAGAAGAAACTCTACGATCAATCTTTATTGCTCAAAAAGGGCACAATTTTAAAATATCACATAGGGCACCCAAAATCTTAGGATCAACCCCGATGTGAGTGAACATGAGGATATGTTGATAACATACGTACCCAGAATAAATTAGAATTTATGTACCTTGTACACATCATATTTTATATTGGGATTTTGTGAAATGAGAAGAAGATTTGTTCACATAGAAAGAGAATCGATTATCAGTTTTAAGAGTTTTATCTTCTAGTGTTGATAATATTTGTACGAATGAGAAGTCACGCGATCTTAGAATAATATTGACTCTCCAAAAGCACAACCTCATTTAACTCGTCATTTCCCAGAGAAAATCTTTGTAATCATTAACATATTTTCCTTTTCTTTCAAAAGCTAATTCGTATTTCCTTAACTGTAAAATTATTTTTCAAACATATTTTATACATATTTCTTTCTCTTTGTAATCGTTTCTTAAACGAAATATTGTTATAAATCACTCAAAATTGATTCATTTGCAAAAAAGGAAGAAGTGTATATATATATACATTGTTCTTAATACCAAGAACATAATGAAGTTTCAATTTGAAGATTATTATCAAATATTATTTTGGTAGCCCCAAATGGCATGCGTTCAAATGAAACAAAGCAAGGCTGGACACTATTTTAACACGCTACAAAAGTAAAGCAAAGCAACAAGTAACAAATACAACCACCTTGAACCCATAAAACGCCAACATTTGTACTGATAACTGAACTTCAAGGGAGTGGTAGGGCACCGCCTGCACCTCCACCTAAGCCGCCAATGCCACCGCCACCTCCAAGGCCACCTAGAGTTCCCAAGCCACCATCTTCACCATGACCACCAAGTCCACCTGTCCCAACAACGCCCCCAAGACCACCAACATCAACGCCTAGACCGACACCTGCACCTACTCCAACCCCCAAACCAACACCAGTGCCACCGAAGGTGGGGATGTTCTTCTGCTCATTTAGACCTTTGTCACTAGGCACAACTCTTGCTGTTGCATGGGCTACAACAAGAGCGAGAAGAAAGATTATACATAACTTTGCCATTTTTCTCTTAATTTAAGGGTTATCCTTCCTAGTTTGAGACCTAAATGGAAGTTGTAGCTCTCATTTTATAGACATACACGGGGGTAGCAGTTGATACTCGAATGAATGAAAATAAATAATGTTACTACTTAGGTACTTAGGTTGGTCTTGATATTCAAAATTTGAACTTTTTATTGAATAAAGGTTAATGTTTTTTGATGTAATTAAAATGTCGTATATTTATAAAATAATTTGATGCGAATATAACCACCCTTTCAACTATATTAATTATTTTCTTAATTCTTGTAAAAATAAAGCAATCCTACTTTTATGAGACGGATGGAGTATAAAGTCAAGGACAAAATAGGAAATTATATTTATATCAACCTAGATGGGAGGTTCATGTGATATTTGAAAACACGAGGGATGTCTTTGATATTGTCCATCAATTGAAAAAGAATCTCTCGTATTATCTCTAGAAAATATTTCCAAAATAACGTTTTGAAACGATTGAAACGACATATATCATGGAGGCATGCAACTTTAGACTACGGAACTTCGGAAGTCAAAGTTGGTGCGTGTCCACATAATATTTCCTACCAGTCACTCTCTTGAACGAGGGAGAAATACTTGGGTACCGTCCTAAGTGGTGCGGCCATCTAATAAGGAGTTGCCACCTCATTAAACGGTCGCACCATGCAGGCATTCCTACCCAAGTACGAGGACATGCTCGTTCGAGCGAGTGAATAGACACCAATGGTGTGTTGACTACACATAGCATTCAATATGTAAAAACTCGAGTTTTGTAATTCTTTCAGAGTTATTTGAATTTTTACTTCAAAATCAGTGTTCGGATAAAATTATTAGTAACTTTTTTGGAGGAATAATATTAAAAGCCATGAAATATGTTGTTAATAAAAGTTAGTAATTGTGAATATGCGATTAAAATTAATATTTAACTTCAACTGAATAAAAAATATAACCATTTAATAACTTTTAGTATTTGACAGACATAGTAAAAAAAAATATATAACCTTTGGAAGCGTTTCATATTGAAATATATAAATAAATAAAATAGAGTGAAGAAAACTCAGAAAATAACCGACTTTACAATTTATTGAAAGTAAAATAACATAACATAAATTATTATTATGTGGGTCATAACAATTGTATGGGGTGGGGTCTCAATGCTAAGGAGATAAAGCTAAAAATCACATGATGACTGATGTGTATGATATGATCTTGATTGGCCTTCAATAATTATATGCACATGATGCTGCGATCCCTCTGTTTCTTACCTCTCCCCCACTCTGTGTGTTTCTATGTGTAGAAGAAATTGATTTTTTGAAGAGTAATTTTGTATAAAATGATTATTTTGAAGAACGTGTGATTAAAAAGTAAGAAAAAATTATGAATTCACATAGAAAATTATTTTTGTAAAAGTACGTGTGATTGAAAATGAATTTGAGAAAAAAATGATTCTAAAAACAGTCAAAATCAAATAAGGAATTAATGAGAAAACCAAGCATGTGCAATAATGCAATACACACCAAGTCTGTGTAACGATGGACCCTCTTTGACAGGTCTTGACTCGACTCATTTAGATATCTAATCAGATCCACACTTATCGCTAGCTTGTCCTTTTTCGGGTTTGTTTGCTTTCTTAAGAATAATTGAAAACAATTAGTGTAAGTCGATCGACTAATGGATGAGGTAGCATATACGAAGAGTTAAACTCGACTCAATCCGTTTCTCTTAACTGATCGACTTGTGAAATGTGGAGCAAGCTCAAATAAAATGACTTAGACCCATGTCACCAATATTACCTTTACAATTATTTGAAATTTCATAATACCTCCACTGCTCAATCTATGAATATATTAATTATTTTAAACATTATTAAATATAGTCCAATTTAATTAACAACTAGTACATGATGCAATACACACCAATTACTACGTCAGTTGTCCCCATAAAACTACTAAAATTTTACACCCTGAGTTCCACGACATTTCCATTTGAGAACCGACGTGACAACGAACTGTACATATAGTAAAAGAGCATGGGGAAAATTTACACATTCGCTACCACGTCAGCAAAGGCCGCAACCCATCTGCCTTCGCCTTTAGCCATCCTTGTCATCTATCGGTCTTCGTCCAGCAAGAGACGAACAATTATTAGCCGAACACATTTGACGAAGCATGGTATCTGAACTTACCCTCATGTATTTAATAGAAAGAAGTATTGGGTAAGAAAATACCTTATTAGTTCCTCAAAATCAGTTAGCAGGTAAGGTCCTAGAGATTTTTGAGGTCAAGAAAAGACAGGGTTAGGATATTATGGACTCCAGCAAAAAGCTTGGACATGATTAATTGACGTGGAAATTACACCCTTCCCTACAATATTTTATATATAGATACAGATTTTTTTTATATTAATAATAATATAAATTAATTTATATACATACCACCTACCCTATATACCCATCCAAACCCTAAAATGAATTTCTCTCCTCTCATCTACTCTCTCTCACCACCGTCTCTCTCAAACCCAAAATGAAACCGTCGCCGCCGCTGCCTCTTTGCAGCTGCAGCAACCCACTCGACGTGATTGTTGTTGTTGCGACGGCGATTGGCAGTGCATCGGCATCTCCTCTCCATTCTCTCTCACCACTGTCTCTCACCTCCCTCACTCCAACCCCCAACCATTCTCTCTCTACATTGCCTGCCACAACCACTCACGACCACCATTTTAGGAGCCATCGTCAGGGACTTCGCCCGCCACAACCACCACCTGTAAACAGCGAAAACCAATTGTTTCTCACCATAACGTATCCCAACCCCCTCTACAGTCTCCTCAGTTCAATTCAGCTTCTCATGCGACCAATTTGTCCTGCCCAGAAGAAAACGAGAGTATAAAATTAAGCCCCCATTTTTCAAGCGCTTATAGAAGAAAAACTTCCCTGAATTGCATTCGACGCATCACATAAACCTGATATGGTCTCTCAAATCATTGATCGCGATAACCTAATAACCCCACTTCCTATGAGGCCACCCATAACCCAATTTTACACTCGGCGTTGGAAAAGAATAGAGGAAATTGATATCATTGAAAAGTCTGTGGGTTATGAAGGGTTAATGAAGGAGAAGAAGAGGAGGAGGGTGGGAAGCACCGAATTAACCAAACTGGGGATGAATTGTAATGCATTGAGTAATTTAGATCATCAGCTTAGGTTAAAAATATTGGAAAATGATTTTTGTAAAGTCAGTAAAAATACGAACTACTGGAGTAAAGGTAATTATAGTGATAGTATTAGGAAGCGTAGAAATAACGATTGTTTTGTAAACGAGTTGAAGAATTCAAGGCTTTTGGCCTAGAAATGGGTTAGGTATGTTTTACTCTATTTTATAGGCTTCATTCGATGATGCCTTGGTTAGTTTCAATTCACCAATCATTGTTTTGGTTGATTTCATTGAAAGAATCAGTGCCTTGGTTATATAATTTGTGACCGTGAAAGAATCTGCGACCAATTAGTTTGAAAATCTGTGACTATGTGGCCTATAAATTTTGAATTCTGTGATCAATGAATTAATTGTGATCTACAAATTTTTTTATACATGACCATTAAAAAATCTGTGACCAACTAATTTGAAAATTTATGACCTGCAAATAAACAGTGAACAAATTATAATCGAGTTCTGACCAATAAAAGTTTTGATTTGTGACTGATAAATAATTTATGACTTATAGGATTTTTGATTCGTGACCGAGAAATAACCTGCGACATATAAAATTATAACAAAAAAAGAATGTGTGACATAAAAAATTGTTAATTTGTGACTATCTATAAGTCGTGACTTATAATATTTGTGATTTGTGACCGATGAATAAATTGTGACGTATAATTTTTTTATTTGTGGCCGATGAACAAATTGTGGCTTATAAAATTTCTGAATTGTGGCTGTAAAATATAAATAATCTGTGACTTATAAAATTTCGTTTCGTGACCGATTTGCAATGAATGAAATGTTAAGGTCACTGAGCACAAGTTTGAGTTCACAAGTCACAGTAATTTTTTATAGGTCACGAATCAATATAAACGAGTCACAGATCAGTATTAACTGGTCACATGCTTTGTAAAGTCACGATTCAAATTTACATGTTATATTTTATATTACTAGTCACGGGTAACAATCAAGAGATCAAAAATCATGTCAAACGTACAAAAAAAATATGGCGGAGTTGTCATCGGAATATTCACCGGAGTTGGAACAATTGTCGGAATCGGAGTAGTCGTTGGAATAAATCAACGGCGGAACGGTCATCGGAATAATCGTCGAAATCAGAGCTATCGCCAGAACGATCGTTGAAATCGGAGTAGTTGTCGGAACGGTCGTCGGAGCGGTAAGGGTGATGGAGGTGGTGTGGGTTAATTATATTATATATATCTTTATATCTTTTTATATATTTATATATATATGTCAAATATCTTATTTTTGAAATTTAAAAGTTCTTTTCTTATTTTTGAAATAGTCTATACTTAAAGTAGTATTTATGAATTTTTTCCTTAATTGATTATTTACTGGACTTTGGGGATTTGGGCTTTGGCAGATTAGTTGCTGGACTTTGAGGAACAATAGAGGCAGTCTGCTGGACTGTAAAATCTCCCTTCGCCTAGAAGACCGTGGAAGACAGATTAAATGGGTATAACCTCCACAGCTCCACTTGGGCTGGCATAATATCATTGAACCTGGAGACCAATATAAAAGCACGACACGTTTTTTGTCAAGTAATGCTATTACAATATGGAGATTATCAAAATGAGAAGAGTAATTATATGTACAAATTGGAGACTCTTATACACTTAACTAGACCATTAAATTGGAGTATTCGTTAGTGATTTTGATGAATTATAACTTAATTTTATGTTAATTATGTTTGTTAGATTGAACTCAATATATATTGTTGGAATTGGAAGAAATGAAAGAAAAAAAAGACAAAAACGAAGGAAATTCAAAATT